CAACATTACCAGTAATTACAAATAAAAACTCCAAAGTAAGAATCGATTTCATAACCTAAAAGTAATAATAATATTATTACTTAAAGTAATAATAATATTATTACTTTTGTGGAATAATAAATTATTACGTGGTAATTATTTTAATATTTTCAGTTTTTGTAGTAGGTTATTACTTTCATTAATAGGATAAGAGTCACAAACGAGCGCACAGTCCACCTGATGGTAAATGGTTACTATGACTCGTAGGCATCTACATCTACTCCCAATTAAATATTAAAATGCAAACCTGTGAGAATTAAGATAGAATGCTTCGTTTCCAGTAAAAGGGTCTCCGGTCTTCTGCACTCGCCATCTCACTCGCATTAAGCTAATATTTTACGCTGTTACCCTGTTGTGCTATCCCGTGTGAGACTCATTCGTGCTAACTATATTACTAATATAACTGCTGTATGGCTCTACCACGTATAATTATTTTATTATCATTTATTTTTTGTTGATAGAGTAAGTAGATGAATTTGTATATTTGGGATGCATTTTATATGAAAGTATTTAGCAAGGATGGGAGATATGATAAGGAAATAAAACGACGAGAGAACGCAGGAAATAGAGTAAATGGGACCCTACACTCTATTGTAGAAAGTCAGAATGTGGCAAAAAAGGCACGTGTGACAATTCACAATGCTGTGTTGGTCCCTACTTTAACGTATGGTAGTAAAAGTTGGACGTGGTAGAAGAAGCACGAGAGTAGAATGAACGCAGTAGAAATGGGATCGTTAAGGAGTATGTTAGGGCTGAATCTGAGTGACAGAGTGAGAAATTGTGTGATAAGAGAATATCGTATTATCGTCGATGGTGTGTTACCTGAAATAGTGGTGTCGGGAGTAGTGGTGCTGGGACTAGTGGTGACCGAGTTAGAGCATGCAATTGAGGGAGGGCGGGAGGTGCTCTTCTAATCCAGGTAAGACACATCATTGTATTTATTTAGCGGAAGGTTGCAAAGAAATATATATTTTTAGTTTTTATTATAATGGATTTCCGCAAAGTAACACCTGATTCTATCAATGATATCTTAGTCAATTTAGGTTTAAACTAGCATTTTACCCGTGGATTCACTCACGTATATTTCGATTTAGGAACATCATTAAATGATGTTCCGTGACAAATTTAGCAAAATTCGATGGCTTTTGGTGTAATCTAGATATATGTGTCGCTATGTCCGTTTGCCTAAGATTTTTTTTTGAATTCTTAAAAACTATTGAACGTAGATGATTAGTTTTTGGCATATATATAATATTACAGAATTGCATTAAAATCATATGTTTAGAAACACTTACTATTTTTTATATCTGGCGTGTCTTTCGATGTATCCATAAGAAAGGTTAATTGTTTTGGAATCAAATTCCGTTATCTACATTTTACTATTTTCATTCACTCATAATAAAGGTTGATTTAGTTTTAATGATAAATTTCATGGTATTCTATTAATTTACAGTACGATGTTTATTTGTGATATTTGATTTATACCATTCATCATTCATCATCAAACTATTTTGCTACACGTGTTTTAATGGATCTTTGGATGAAAACACATATCCCTAATACGAAGCACTGACGCTCCGGGAAATCTGAAGTATGTCCACATATCTAGTGTCGTCCCAACCATTATATTAGATTTGATAGACCACAAGTCCTCGCAAAAGAACATCGATTCCTACCAAGGGTGATTCGCATGGCTATTGAAATAAACAGCATCCTAATTTCAATAGATAGGATGGTTGGGTGCTACCATCTTGTGGGATCCTGCAAGACTTCAAGGTATTGTAGCTCGTTCTGCGTAGATAGAACCAAAAAATTATAAATTAAAGTTGAGGGTAGCCTTCGCTAATTACGACATCAGGACAGACAGGTCAAACATGTCAGTCCCTAGTCCACAGATCACGGATGCTCTAAAGTGCCCGGAACGTCGGGAATTAAAAAGGTCAAAATTAAATGTGATTCACGGTGAAGGGAAGAACTATATTCATGAACATATCATCAATATCATTAACTCACACTCTCATATCAACTCATATCATCCCGTGGGTGTTGTAAGAGGCGTCAGATGAAAACAAACAGGTGATGGGTTGCATCATCTTTCTGGTAACAGATCAAAATGAAAAAACTACGGTTGCCAATCCGCCTGCCAAGCGTGGCAACTATAGCAAATATCCGGTCTTAAATTTATGGAGGAGTACTATGTTCAGTCCCGTGAACTTTTGATAGGCTATAATGATGACGACGATCAGTTCTACTCATCTTTGCTACCCTTTATAATATTTACGGTAGAGTGAAAACAAAAAAGTAACATTCTGAAAATATGAATGAAATAAAAACTGCATAATAGGCCCATTAAAAGTAAAAATAAAGTACAATACATTTCACTACTGGGCACAAGCCGCTTTTGACCTCAACTGCGGAATTTTGCAGATATGTTTTCCCGCGATGTTTTCTTTCACTGACGAAAACGTGGTTAATCGACACTTCAAATTGCAATCAAAATAAATGTTAAAATATATAATAATGCTTACTTATTACGAGATTTACGTTTGGATCAGTTTGATTTTGTCAAGTAAAATAAAATAAACCTTTGTTTAAGTAAAATCTGCTTTTTTGATAATTAAAGTAATTTTACACAAGAGCCTGTCATTTACAGATATTTTACAGATATATGTAAGCCATTGAACCAGGAATGGCACAAAAATGTTGATATATCTGAAAATATGAAAGCTATCTTCAATGATAAACTGATTTATAAGTATCATTGAAGCTTAAATAATATACGTCTCAAAACTGTGCATAGGGTATACATAGTTATCTATAGTTTTTTTGTGGACAGAAAATAATAAGCCAGAAACTCGGAAACGCAAATGCACTTAGACACTTAGGTTTCTCCACGATGATATTCTTCACCACTTCACCGAATACGTGGTAATACTAAGATTTCCTATAAACATTTACACGTCCTCGAGGGAATCGTTCTCGTTTTGCTCCCGTGCCATGATGAAATATCACGGCGAACTGCACGGTTCTCAACCAGTCCAGAGGATTAAATAAAAGGTACTTACCCTTTATTTAATCCTCTGGACTTGTTTTTTCAAGAATATATTAGAATTACATACAAGACTTTTCTATAGATTTATTATATGTATAGATTAAGTATGATAATTTTTTTCAGACTTCCATAGGCCATAAGCTTGATTAGATATAACATGGTAAATTATTTTATTGATATCCGTAATAGTGTCATAAGAAGACGCCTAATAATTACATAAACAATTTTTTCGCCCTTGCCTTTTCAGATCAGACATTGTGCGATTATCCAACTCTGGTGGTAATTGTTGTCGATGGGAATCACTATACGCCACTATGGTGTTTTGTTTATTTAAGATAACACTGTAACCTAATAGCGGAAAACATTGTTATATTTCATTTAAAATATGATTTACGATTACCGCTTCAGTTATAAGATAATTTACTCGTAAAATCATCAATGGCACGTCGATGTCAGTTAATTCTTAAATTATTAACAAGGTTCAGTCCAACCGTAGACCGCGAAACGTGTACGCGTCAATTATTTCGCACTTTCAGCTTCGCGTATTTTTTTTTATTTACGTTTGTGTTATTTTAATTATTAGTAGACAGACTCTTAGGTGATTATTTTTTTAATTACACAAAAAATAAATATATTTCTTATGTTTATTTAATTGTATTTTGATAATTAGGCTACGATTTCAATTCCAATAGAAATTTGAAATACTATGAAAATGATACAAATATTTAAGTAATTTTTAATGAATGTATCATTTATTTAGAGAGTAATCAAAATTTTAATAGTTATTTTTAGATAGATGCTAAATGATGTTAAGGACGTTATTTAACTGGTAACGACACTTTCCTTCTCAATCCTTAGGGGTGGGGGACAAAGCATTTTAATTCTTAATGTATGAACGATTAAGGTATGTATGGACTACAGCATCTATTTACCATCGGAACTGTGTACTCATTTTTCAGTTTTACTTGATATATAACTATTTACAAAAAGACAAGATGATACAAGTCGTTACAGCTCTTCACATGTTCACTGCTGAACTGGCCAATGATTTCTCGCTCGCCACCGCAGTCTACTTCGCAGCCGCTCTCCTACATCTCAGTCCCCTCCCCCGTGACCATGAGGGCTGTAAAGCACCCAAAACGCTGGGAAATAAAAATAAGCAAAAGTAGTTAAATAAACGCGATAAAATCCGTAAATTTAGTTTTATTCAATGTGTAGTGTTCGCGTAAATTTAAGATATCAGTATGTGGCTTTTCTTGTAATTGTATATCTGCAAGAACTATGGTTCATTCTTTGGGTAGCGGAAGCAAACTTCCAACCAAATGATACACCTGGCCGTGCACTTTTAATGTAGGCACAAAACCATCCTGTATTATCTTTTTAGCTCCAAACGAGTTCATTTGAAAACAACTATTATAATGCCGTATGCCAGCCATGAAGTGATCTGGAAGCTTTTGCAAAGGTTCGAGACCTTTCCTAAATCCCTGCACATTCTATGTCATAATCTTTCCTGCATTCCCATAGATTTATCCTGTACTTAAGAATTTTTACCACTTGCATTCGACGTTCATCGGTCCCAAAACCACAGTATTATGATTATCGTACGCCATATTACTATCACAACTCAGTCCAGAAAATGCTTTAGAATTCCAAGATGTCTTTCAACTCGCTATCCTTCATGAATACGTTCACATCGTAACTGTGATACTCTGTACACTTCAATGTATTTGCGCCGATATTTACTTCAAGTCAGGTCAACTTCTCCTTAGCATTAAAAAAAAAACACTTAAAAAGTTCTCGCGCAATGACTAACGGATGATACATTTTATTAATCGCCTTGAATTTTTTAATATAAATTAAGTACATATATCTGTTATTAGGTTAGTGCAAATATTAAGTGTTAAAGACAATGTCGAAGCAGGAAGAGATAACAACCGATTTCAAACCGAGCGAGACGTGGAGGATCGTGAAAAACGTAGTCGTTATCAGCTTAGCCTTCATGGTTCAGTTTACAGCGTATAATGTGAGTATTTTCTTATTATTTTTTATTATTTAATATGGTTTATTTATCAGAAATAATAAATAATGTGACAAAAGTAGAACGACGAGGTCTTTATCTTTATCTTTACGAATTGTAAAGAATGTGAATTTATCGAGTACATACCGTAAATTTAAAAAAAAAGTTAGATCAGCTCTTAATAAAATAAGTGTCACTATTGGGCAAAAGTTTCTACTATACTTCTAGTTATATAATTATGGTAAAATGATTATGGTAATTTCCACGCTTGGTAGCAGTATTGAAAACCTTAATCTGAGAACAATAGGTGCACCAGGCCTTTGTTTCTAAATAGTTACCAGCCTAGATGTTTTAAGTTAGGAAAATATGAAAATATTCCACCACCAGGCGGTGCTGCTATCCTTAGATTTTATTTAGATAAGACTAGCTTTTTACATGTGGCTTCGCCTGCGTGGAATTTTGTTTAGAAACATCTAATGATGGCATGGAATAATATTAATACACTATCCTGTGCCAAAATTAGCATAATTGAACCACTTACACCTCGATATCTGTGTCTATATTGGACGTATATGATTGGTATTTTTCAATATAATATACTACAGAAACACATGAGTTTATCAGAATTTGACTAATATCATACGTCTAGCAATACCTTTTTTATATTGGACATGTCTTCCAATTTGTTTTTTTTAAAGGGTTAACTGTCCTGGTATCAGAAATGCATTACTTACATTTATTCAAAATTAAATTTGAATGAATTTTAATACAATAATGTTGAATTTGGCGGTCTTTTCAATTACACCCAAATAGTTCGACCAGGAAATTGTATTTGATGAAATCGAAGCAGATCCAACAACGTTAGTGCGAGTAATGGCAAGGAACACCGGCGTATCAACAAAGATATTTCACAAAATTTTACACCGGCAACATGAAGCATTACGCCGGCCAAATGAGAGAGTACATCAACGAAACATATCCTCGTAAATGGATCGGGTGCTTGCACAGAACTAAGACATGTGCTTGGCGACAATACTGTGACTGTGTCCGCAGATCTTTTCCCGCGCGACTTCTTTTACTAGGGGTGCCTTAATGCAATATATTGTACAAAATATTGTACAAAGAGCCCATCACCTCAGTTGCAGCAGCAGTTGTTGCACAGAAGATGCAGAGCGTGCATAAGAGCTAATGGTAGGAATTTTGAGACCTTTTTGTAATAAGATTCATTTCAAAGTAGTGAATTCCTTTGTAATAACATTAATATTGTTTGTATAATTCCAAATCCTCAAATTAATATAAGGAAAGCAAGAGTTTTGTAATTATTACAGTTTCTATCAGTTTATTTGTAGATAAAAAACGCATACCTAATAAAAACGTTTTTATTGATTGAAAATTATACTTGTTACTGTTATCTATTTAAGTAATAATTACTATGAAATTTATGTTTTCCAAATAAATTAAATAGCGAAAAAACACAAAAACAACGTTAGAATTTTCAAATCTATTATTTTAAATGATAAATGTATAAATTTTATTATTTAAACTAGTAATATGTCCAATTATAAATATTTTATTTACCTACTTAAAAAAACACACTTTTCATATGAAATTGAAATTAACATCTAAATGAAGGAAAATACTTAACCCATTTTTTTAGTTCCGAAATCACAAAGTTTAATGGAAAGGAAGAAGGAAGGAAATATTAGAATTACTAACACGACTATTCTACACATGGCCTTTGCATATTCGGTACTGTTATGTTTCAATTATATTACATTAAAGTTATAAAATGCAAGTTTTATTATTGATCGCAAAGCAATCCACCTTAGTCGTCGGACAAAGCAACTGTACCTATCTTTATTTCAAGTGAAATTTGCCAACCCATCTTACATCTTTGACACTCTTACCGATCTTGTATTTTACGTCTGGTATAAACGCAATGGTAATACCACCATTTAGTCATAAGATGTCTTCATTTCCTCCTCGTGGTCAAGGACCATGCCCATCGGTAGACTGATATAAGCTTCCAAGAACACCTGCGTATATATATACATGAGTATGTATGTAGTTTTTATATATTATTCCGAACTTGGTTTAGTTGAAACTGTTCGGGAAAATTTAAAAGGAATTTACGATATCAGCACTAAAATATTGACATAAATTGAAATCTCTAATGCATATTTATTTTAAAACACAAGATATTTTAAAAGTTTTCATTAATAATTTGAAAATTGATCGATCTTTTAATTTGCATCAATAAAGAACTTTTTTTATAATGTAGTGCATTACCTAGAAGTTTTATATTTCATGCGCGAGTCCCGTGTGACTCTGCTGCGCAAGCGCGTTTAGCATAAGTTAGATTTTATAAGAAATGATTGTATTTGGGGCTCAATAAACGACCGACGTACGGTGAAGACGTATCTTTTCTTTTCCCCACGCGTACCATGCCTCATGGCGACCCTGCCAGGATGCTAACAAAGAAATTACCCACTAAGTGAAAAACCAGTGCAAAAAAAAGAACCAAATTCGGAAGAAAGAAGAAAACCTTATAGAAGAAAGAAGAAAACCTTACAGAAGAATGAAGAAAACCATATAGAAGAAAGAAGCACAAATTCTGAAGAAAGAAAAAAGAAGCACCCTATTTTGAAGAAAACAAAAAAAAACCAAGAAGAAACGCCAGAAATCCAAAGAGAAATAAAGGTACGAAATGGGAAAATCGCAGTCGAAAGAAGTAGTCATAGCACAAAACGCAAATGGTGCAGCATCCGCAAATACAAGCCTAGAAGACGCTCACACAAACCACATCATACAAACCCTCATGATTGTATCCGTGGTTATACTGGCCGCAGCAGTTATCTATTACCTGATGAAAAAATGCAGGAAGAGTGCCGTGAAAACTCTGAGGCGAGAACTCAACGCAATCTCGCTTGAAAACATCGCCCGCCCTACAACTAACTAGAAGATCTCAAGAGGTGTCCAGGGTAATACCCGGCCCAACATCAAGAGGTGTCCAGGGTAATACCCGGCCCGCTTCAAGAAGATGACCTCATGCAGCCACACATCCTGTTTGCAGTGCTGTTCCCGCTTGCTCGCGCCGCCCTAAAAATGGTTACATCCACAAACACCATCGCCCCGCCCTTGTAATTAGTATGTACGTGATATTTTAACAAGTAAGTGAAATTATAATTTTTAAGTGTTTTTACATAGTGTGTAAATAATAGTTTCCTTTTCCTTTACTGTTAGAAATTATATTTGTCGATTTTTTCAATGTCACTAGCTGAACTAAATAATGTGTACAGTAGTTTAAAAGAAATTAGAGATTATCTAGTGAAAATCGGACCAAAACGTAGAGAGAGTTCCGATACAGCAAAAGAAAAAGTTAGTGAAGCGAAAAATCTGTACAGTCGTTTGGAGTATATTTCGTCTAAAATCAAACTAAAAATAGAGAATTCTGAGATAAGTAGCGATGATTTTCAGGTTATTAATAGATGCATAGACGACATACATATCTTGTACAGTAATATTTTAAATTTAATGTCTCGTGAATCAGAAAGTTCCAATAACTCAGCCAGCATGGGCGCCTTTGATTTAAAAACGGCAATAGCCCTATTGCCAATAATGACAGGCCACGAAAATATTACTACTCAACTGATAGATAGTATTGTGATGTATAGTGATATGCTTAACGAAAATGGCAAAAAACAATTAATTGATTTCGTTTTGAAAACTAGACTGACCCCTAGCGCCAAGCTGAGGTTAAAATCTAGCTACGAGTCCGTGAGTAGTTTGGTTTTAGATATGCGCACTCACTTAATTCAGAAGAAATCCGCGGTAGCATTGCAATCGCAGCTTAATAGCGCAAGCCAAGGCCGTAGATCTATTGATAAGTTCGGCTCTGAGTTAGAACAGTTGTTCGTCAACTTGACTATAGCACAGGCTGACGGTGATGACAAAAAAATACTAAACACTTCGTCCTTTGAACGAGAAAATTGCGATTAAGCGTTTCGCAGACGGATTATCAGATTCGCGTTTGAGCATTATCATAGCCTCCCGACAATTCCAGTCTCTTCCAGAAGCGATTCAAACCGCGCTGGACGAGAGCACATCATCAGCTCGTAACGAGCATGTGTTGAACATTTACCGCAGTCGTGACAATCAGTTTAATAGAAATAAAAGAGGCCCTAATAACGCTCGCTCAAATACTAATTCCAAAGCGGATCGAATTCCAGGACATTTTACATGGGTAACTCTCGAGGGCTCAATCGTGGTAGGTACCAAAGGGGTACGACTCCCGGTGACGTCACGCGATTTGACTGAAATGCAGGAAAAAGTAGTATCCGTTTTAACTAGAGCTCAAAGGAAAAAGTTAGAGCCCCAAACGGACACCGGACAGTTAGACAAACAGCCTCCAGTTAGTAGGCCTGATCAACCTACTACTGTAGAGTTGTTAAAACGACCCAATGACATAATAGAGTTGCGTTTTCCAGGAAATAGTAACGAAAAACATTTGAATAATGCGTATAATATTTTGTCCGACGCTAAACTTTGCACGTATAACCCATCGTTATCGACCATATTCCTATATTCTCGATCGTTATCGTCTCTAGAAGAGTTAGCGAGAGATCTAGAAAAAATGTGCATAAAATTAAATATAAAAGAATTACTCATAATTAAAAACAAGAGTAATGAGAAAAATATTAAGAGTTTGCTGCGCAGCATAAAAATGTATAAAATAGCGTCACCACGATTTTTGATTATTAAAGACATTAAGCGAATAAATAATAAAGAAGAAATTACCACGGTACTTAATGACTTTCACCTGTTACCAACAAGTGGTCATGCAGGCATGAATCGTATGTTAAATAATATTAAAAAAATATTATTTCTGGCCAGGTATGAGCAATGACGTCATGAACTGTGTCCGCAAATGTAAAAGTTGTCAAGTTCAAAAGCATACTAACAGAAATATTAGAGATCCTTTGACAATCACTTCAACTGCTAACTCAGCGTTTGAACAGGTTAATTTAGATATTATGGGCCCTTTAGATATAGATAACTATAATAATAAGTATATTTTAACAATCCAGTGTGATTTAAGCAAATTTGTAGAGGCTTATCCTTTACCTAGAAAGGATAGTGAAAGTGTTGCTAGGTCTTTCGTTAATAATTTTATTTTGCGTTATGGAATTCCAAGAAAAATTTTAATTGACATGGGGACCGAATTTACCTCATCACTTATGTCCGAAGTTTTCAAATTGCTACATATAGAAAAAATCTATTCAACGCCTTATCATCATGAAACCTTAGGAGGCATTGAAAATACACATAAACATTTAGGCGCTTACCTCAGAATTCAGTGCAATAATAACAAGTCAGATTGGAGCGAATGGGTTCCTTTTTGGTGTTTTTGTTACAATACAAGCGTTCATTCAAAAACAAAATATACTCCATACGAACTAGTTTTCGGCAAAATTTGTAATATTCCTAGTAATTTATCAACACATGTTGACCCACTGTATAATTTCGATGATTACCCTAAGGAGTTAAAGTACCGTTTACAAAAAGCACAGTTGGATGCTAAGGAAAATTTGTTAATAAGTAAAAATTTAAGAAAAATTAAGTATGATCAAAAATGTAATAAAGTACAATATAAGCCAGGAGATTTAATCTTAATAAAAAACCAAACAGGTAACAAATTAGATTGTTTGTATGAAGGACCTTATAAAGTTTTGGAAGAATTACCACCTAATGCAAAATTTCTAAAAAATAAAGAAATTATTTTACATAAAAAAGCCATTTCAATTGTAATGTTTATCTTTGTAATCAAAAAAAAATGTTTGCTTTTCAGATAAGTACCTATACATTCATTATGTTATTAGTCTTAAGTTATATGTACACTAATCATTTTTTTTTCCTAAAGAGGGTAGTGAGGTACCCCTTACTTTTCGGGGGAGATGTAGTGCATTACCTAGAAGTTTTATATTTCATGCGCGAGTCCCGTGTGACTCTGCTGCGCAAGCGCGTTTAGCATAAGTTAGATTTTATAAGAAATGATTGTATTTGGGACTCAATAAACGACCGACGTACGGTGAAGACGTATCTTTTCTTTTCCCCACGCGTACCATGCCTCAATAAAAGTAGAACTAGTTTGACCTTTAAATTCCCAACTCTAAATATTTCTATGTAAGGATGTAACGGTGCAAATTATTTGCAACAAAATATAAAAAAATAAAAGTCTAAATCTTTAATTTTTTGTCCTTCTGGTTTCCGACTTTTACAAAAAAACTATTAACGAAAATAATGTTTATTTACACTTTGCCTGTATTTTTATCATTGATTTATTTTTAGGGTGCAGCAAATTTACAAAGCTCTATCAATGCAGAAGCTGGTTTGGGTACGGCCTCCTTGGCCGCAGTATATGCAGGATTGGTTTTCTCAAGTATTTTTCTGCCCGTTATTGTTATCAAGTAAGTATAATAAACATTCATAGCAAGAACACACAAATTACTGGAGTAAAATAGTATTTTAATGTTGCTGTTTTCGTATGATAAGTGTAGAAAACTGCAGATTTATTATACCGCAAACGAAACATTCCTTCTTAGTCTTCAGGGGTGACAAACGAGCACATAAGCCAACTTATGGTAAGTAGATGCTATGGCCCATATACTCTGCATCTATATCGATTAAGAATCAAGAGAGAAATGCGTTGTCACCCCCGAGGACTAAGATAAAATGCCTCGCTACCAGTAGAAAACTAAGCACATAGCTTACGCCATTTAATTCGGGTATTCTGTAAAAATTTGGTATTTTCCGGTTGTGCCGACCCATTCGTGCTGCAGCCATAAAACGGCGCAGCGTGACTCCACCTGAGTCTAACAACTTTTACTTTTACAGCCTATTAATTTTCACTTCTAAAGGTATGCCGCTCACTTAGATTGCCTTATAGGGGCAATATTTGCCATAGTTGCCACGCTTGGCAAGCGGGTTGGTAACAAATCACAGATTAATTAGTTTTGCATCTGCTTTTCTTACTTTGTCTTTCTATGCGTTAGAACCTTTAACTATCGAACTTTGTAATTTAATTAAAACTAACAATCCTTTTATAACGGAATAACAGGTCTTTACCTATGAAATTGCCGTTCTGCAGTACTGGTCATTTCAAATCAAAAATAATTTTTGTTTGAACATAGAATTGTTTTTCTTGTATTAGTCATTAGTTTATTGACAAGCGATATGTTTTCATCGCATTTGAACCTTTTTCATCATCATGCATAATTTAAAAATTCGAGTAATTATGGAATATGAACTCACAGAATACCAATTTAAAATAACAGATTAATGCTGTGACCCTTTATACTATAAAAGAGGAATTCCATATAGTCCTCACGTCTGACGACGCATCTGTATTTTGATTCGCAAACGAGAATAGATGTAGATGTCTATGGGCCACAAAAACCAATTACCATCAGGTGGACTGTGTGCTCGCTTGTCATCCTGATCCTACAAAAAAAACCGTTGTGGCAGCAACGTGGCACAAGCGGCACGCAATATCAACGGCGTTTACGGAGCGAATACTACAAACGAACGCACCACCTGTTATTGGTTTGCCCGTTTTCGTTCCAGAAATTTTGGCTTGAAAAATGAACCCAGTGGCCGTCTGAAAACTATGGTCAACAATGCAAGTTAAAGGCGATTTTGGAAGTTTCTGATACTCAATCTGCGGCTGAATTAGCAACAGCTTATGACGCGAGCATCAAAACAGTATTATTCCATTTACGTCAAATTGGCAAAGTAAAAAATATTGACAAATGGGTGCCCCACGAACTCATTGGTCGTCAACCATGCATTGTACTGCTTAACAGGTACACAAACGAAGACATACTGAACCACATTATGTACTATCTGTGACAAAAATTGATTATGTTTAACAATTGCAAGCGCTCAGCTAGTTCCAACTATTTTTACCAACTATATAAACTATTTTAACCAGGATGGATCCTGGTTCAGCACCTAAAAATGTCCTAAAAGAAAAGATACCACTAGAAAAGTCACGGTCACTATTTATTGGTCTAGTGCCGGTGTGATTCTTCTCATCTTCTCACCAAACAAGATGACCATTGCTGCAGATGTGCACTGTGAAGAACTGAATACAATGGTGGAGAAGCTCGCACATCTCCAACCAGCTTTGGTCTATCGCTCGCAACCAGTCCTGCACGACAACGTGCGACTGCACAACAGAGGGTCTCCAAGTTACAAGAGCCGGAGTTGAAAGACGTTCAGACGATCTCCTTAATCCGCCGTACTCACCAGACCTTCACCTACAAACTTCTAACTTTTCCAGAATTTGGATAACTTTTTGGCGGGAAAAAAATTACTACCTACCCGACAGGTTGCCACAAAATGCTTTTGAAGAATTTATTGACTCCGTAAAGCCGATTTATTCAAGAAGAGCATTAATAAACTGCCACTACGCTAGCAAAGATGCATCGTTTGCATGGGTGATTACTTTGATTAATAAAAGTAAAAATATGGAAAAAATAACTTAACTTATGTCATTAATAATGCAATTATTTAGCCATTTAAACGTCCGAGCGATGTGGCGACAATAGCCTATAACGCCCCGCGTCGCTCGTCGCGACTTTTTTTACGGTGCGATCACGACCAGTTCGACTAAAACGGTTACCACGGAGAAAGTTCTTTACTATGTCAGTATGAAAGTCACACACAGAAAGCTAAGGAAATGCAGAATTCAATTATGTTAATAATAATTTACCCGATTGAAGTTCAACGGGTAAAAAAATGATTAATTTTAGAAATCTAGCTGAAAACCCCTAATATTTTTTTATTTTCTTTGATAACATCACAGAACCATTTTATTTCTATATATTTATTGTACAATAAATGTTTTGATGAGCTTTATGGAAGCCGGAAAAAATTTTTGTAGCATCGTATCTAGGTTGAACAATTAGTTAGCCTTGTAATCACCAATAGGTTAAATAAATAAATAAAATAGCCTTTATTTTTACTACAATACAAACTTGACTACATGATTAATCTAGGTAATAATAGTATAGAATAGTTAATATGTATTTTTTTACGTATAATTATGTATGTATATATATGACTTAGTTAATGTTAGTAGTAGTCGCCTCTACGGCGTAGGCCTCTCCTAAACCTTTCCACATATCTCATTCCCGAGCCACTTGCATCCATAGGGGTCCACATCTCTGATTATAAATATCTCTCCACCTTTTACTAGGTCTCCCTTTTTTCTTTTTCTGTCTCTTGGTATCCTTTCTGTTAAACGTTTGGTCCATCTGTTATCATTCATTCTACAGATGCCCTTTCAGTAGTCTTGCTCTTTTTCTTACATCTATTATTTTTGTTTTTTTCCTGATGTGGACGTTGTTAACCTTGTCTAATATTTTTAGACCAAGGAAGTAGCGATATTGCCATGTCTGACCAATGAATTAAGTAATGCTTAAATATAAGATAGATAAGACTAATATTATATTAATTCGCTCACAATGGCCAGTTCAACGGAGACTAGCCATCTGCGACAGGACAGGATTAAAGTACATGAGTGTGTGCATAAGCACAGTTGTACTTTCTATGGGATGGCAACCAAAGAGAGATCAGATGTAGAACCAACGGTTTTGCGTGCCTTTCGAGGCGCGGAGACACCAACTTCCGAATTCCGGGCAGGTATTGAGGATTTCCTGACAGATAAAATCAATAACTTATTTTGACCCGACGTGGGATTCAAACCCGGAATACTCAGCAGTGAAAAGTATCTAATGATCAGGGATGAAAAGTGATGTAAGTCGTTTATTCTTAATGTTTAATATTTAAACAGATGAACTAGAAGCAGTGTCAAAGTTGACAAGATGACTGATAATGTGATATTCAACCCTCTTACAAATGGCAACAATGGCTCAACAATATGGAAAAACCTCCTTTCGTAACTAAATATATTATTGAACAAATAAATAAATTTATTATTAATTAAACAAAAATTGGAATACTGGATCAATCATAATGATATAAATGAAGAATCATCAAAAGTTACAAGATTTTCGTGTGCCATTTCAACGATTTTTGATTATTGCATCTATTTAGCTTTCCTTTAGCTAGTATATTTTATTTCCCTTTAACTTCTCTATTTATAACAACTACCATCGATCCTATATTAAAAACTTATTTGTGTTCTTTTCGATATTGACCACTGAGATAAAATATTATTTTGATTTTGCTTCAATTATATGTGAAACATTCAAATACTTAAAAACTGTATTATTTTCCCTTCATTTTTATGCTATTTTTATTTTAAATTGAATTAAAGTGACAATCGAACTTACAGGCTACCAGATTATGAGAGGCTACTGCTGTTCATATACACCTGCAGCCAACATCAAACAAAGACAGCAGGTCAACGCTGCTGTTTCGTACGGTGTGTGTTAACTGTAATCGAGGCATTCCATCTTAGTCCTCATGAATGGCAACGCATCTGTATTTTGATTCGTAATAAAGGATAGATATAAATGTCTATGGACCACAGCAACCACTTACTATTATGTAGACAATGTGCTCGACCCAGTAAGGTTGACATTTAAACTTTACTTTACTTATCTTCACGCACAATCCCTAACGGGGTAGCCAGAGAGAACAGATCGCCAAGTGTCACGATCCTTACACTTGTGGTTCATTAACTTCTTCATACATGCACGTCTAGGTATCCGAGTACTCTTGACCTTCCCCTCTTCGATTAATTGACATTTAAAGAACATCATATTCCCTCTTACGCCCATACTTAATAATATATAGGAGTATACTATTAATAGATCAATTTTTTTAGATGGTTGGGCACGAAATGGGCGATGGTATTGTCATTCTTGTCTTACATGCCATACATCGCTGCGCAGCTGCTGCCACGCTTCTGGACCTTGGTCCCCGCTGGCCTCATTCTCGGCCTCGGTGCGGGTCCACTTTGGTGTTCCAAATGTACTTATTTATCCGTGGTAAGAAGGTTTATTTCAATTTCATATTTCATTTTTACTTTGATTATGTAAATTTTAAATTATCGATCATTTTAAATACATCTTATAAAATTATAAATCAGGTGGCGACCTCTAAAACAAAAAGAGGCTACAGCCATTATCTGTAATCGCATCAAAAAACGAGTAGATTCTATATTCAATGTATATGTTTTTATGTATGTTCTCCGAATTATCAGAATAATAATTACTTTTTTTATTTAATAGCTTCAATTTCCAGGGTGGTATCGTAAACATTTGAAGAAATAATGGGAATGAAGTTTTTATTGTAACGCTTTAGACTTCATAAGAATTTCTAATATTTACGCAACACTACACATTATAAACTGCTTTTATGAATTTTATCGCGTTTAATTAACTTATTTGTAATTCCCTACGTTTTGGATGCTTTACAGCACCATGGCCATGTTTGGGTGCCCCATTCTATTTATCTCCTTGAACTTGTGTTGTTCCTAGTCCACTTAAAAAAAAATTAAAATATTAAACTATTAATATAGGGAAACAATAATTACCACGAAAACTTTCATAGCACCTGCATAATCTATAATGTGAAAATTATCTTATATCTTTTGAAGTCGATTTTTACTATTAAGTTTATTATTGTTATAAATGTTGTAAGTTGATTGGATCTCTGAGATAGAAATTACTGTCAAGACGATGTAGCTTATCTTCTGCAGTCAATATCAACTGATTAAGTGCCTATAGTACCTCAAATGGCTTAGTAAGATCCTCCGTTATGCCGAAAATATAGCAGCAATTTTATGATCAGCAGCAAATTAATTTTGAAATAAATATATGGCAAAGTTGGGGATTAATTTTAAGTACTATGTTACATGAAAACAAGATTCCGTAAAATTTACTCGATAGAAAAAAATTAAGTTAAGTTAAGAACAATAAACCGCTGGTATTTACAAAATACTTTAAATTAGATCATGAAACTTTGCACACTAACAGAACTAACTATAAAGCAGGGCTTATGTTTTTTTATTTTTTTAATTACCATTATTTTCACTGTAAAAATAAATTACCTATACTATCGGCGTCCTGAGGCTTGTTCCCTGCCCCCAGATACTCCCGCTCAGTCTCGCTTTGGCTTCCGATTCAAACGAGAAAGCTGAGTCGTTTACGATCAGAACACACATTACGCAACAGGATGACGTAAAATAAAATGGGAAATAACCGTCATAAAAATAAGAAGCGGCTAGGTTGGCGCAAAGAAAGAGGTATAAATATGATAAACCTAACACAATAATTAGTCGACCTGTCTACCTGTCTACTTACAGTATTAGGATTAAATACATGTCGGTAGATAGCCTACGACGCGCGGGGAAGTGGAGGCGAAATTAGAATTTGAGCTAAAGTAGTATAGGCCCTTAAGTTTTTGTTTGAAAGTATCTTTCGTTGTTTGCCCGTCTGCCTTTAAGAGTTTCATTAGAGACCTGCCTAAGCACATAATTAGTAACTTGTATTACTATTAACAATAGACACACATTTTTTTATTATTTTTTTTAATTACATTGAAAACATAATTACTAAATGGTAAGTATTATTAGTAACGGTAGTGTTTTATCATCGATTTGGTTTGTTCATTGCCCGATCCAGAACTCCACCGACTAACTCAAACTACTTAACAGCAAACATCGAATGTATTGAAAAATGGAAAAACGTAAATCTTTAAATTTAGTACAAATTATGATTGATATGAATGTAGTCGCTTAATTTAAATAATGAAAGGATTTATTCGTTATTTCAAAATTGTTTAAAATCGTTTATGTAAACCTTTTTAAACTACTACCACTCGCATTAGTTATGTATTGCATATAAATAAATAAACTTTATAAATACAGGGTTTCCCAAATTGTGTGCCGTAATTGGTGCGCAATAGAAAGTAAATAGAGGCGCGTTAGGCGCTCCTCTTTAAAAAGAGTCCTATTACTCAATCTACCTACCTATAATATTGACACATTGCAAATTCCCTGCAAATTCAGATGCAATTTTCAAGGTTATGGGAATGGTTCACAATGTGCCATTACAAGTAAAGTAGCGTATTTATACCTGCGTAAAGAGTGGTATAACTCGACTGTGGAAAGACCTCACAGAATACGAGCGTTAAATAGGAGCATAATGTTGCTGTATTTTGTATTAGTTGAGGATAAATATAGATTTCTATAGACCACAGCATCCGCTTACCATCAGGTGGACTGTGTGCTAATTTTGTCACCCTTATTGTATAAAAAAGATTGTATGAGGATGAGCAGCTTGTGTTGTTAAACAAATCCCAAACAACACCACTGTTATTATTGTAAGTTTAAAAAGAATTGAAATAGCAACAATGTGATTTAAAATTGCTTATGTGTAAAAGGTAACACCATCTTTTTGTGAATTCAACGTGGTAAATCTCTTTTTACAGCAAAAAAACTAAACGATTCGGTATTTTTGTAAAACTTCGACTCAAACGCTCAACTTTATTAAGTCTAGTGAGCAGTACGTAGTTTTATTGACTACATGGACTTAAACTTTGAGAGAAGGTAACGCCTGCGTATGACTACGCCCCTTTTGGACCGCCGTACCAGTGGTCCGTGTTGCTCTATGCGTAAAGCATAATTGAATAATGTACAATAACGCATGATATTCTGTTCAGATAGGAAATTCTTCAGCAGTTGATTATAAAAGATAAAAAAGATTGATTTATCCTCTAGGTAAATATTGAATAGGTAATATGGATTTCGAGGGAGTTTTCATTCATTGCGCGTTGTAATATATTTTATTTTTATTTTATAAAGTTTCTTCCGAGAAATTGTATCGTGGATGTGTTTTACATAAATGAATAGCACATAGTTTTTTTAAACTTATTTTAAGATATAGCTTGACCACAATATCACCAGATTGTAAGTGGTGATGAAGTCCTAGATGGTAAATCGGATTCTCTTAGCGCAACAAAGCCTATTCACTCTTGTCGACGCACAATTGTATTACGACGGGATAACAAATGCCGGCAGATTATTCCACTCTTTTTTTTCTTAAAAAAAAAAGAATATTAACAATGCTATAAACATTACTAATATTCCCTTAACCACTCGTGGTAAGCTTAAATTGCTTGTGTTACGAGTGGTTCACGCCAGTAGTCGAATGGTGGATTCGAACCCACGACCTTTTAGAGTTCGCCATTAGGCTACAGTCGCTTAGCTGTCGTCTTTGCTGTATATATACAAGTATCCAGATTACCTAGTTGTCTTGAATAGAATTTGAACCCACAGCCCGAAGCGCTACAGTCCAACTCTAAGCCGCTGCCTACAGAGCCGTCATACATCATCATAAGCTATAATTGTATTTAAACCTACAACCACCCTTAGCTATAAATCAATTATCCAAAAAGTATCCTTACATTTCAGGTATCAGTGGTTCATAGCAAGATTTCTAACATTTCATCCGAAGCTTTGCTCAGTCGTTTCCTTGGAGTGTTTTCTATGATCTTCCACCTGAATCAAATATGGGGAAATCTCATCTCTTCTCTGGGTAAGTTTGTCAATCGACGTTTATACGAATTGCTAATGCAAGTTTTATACTAGAATATTTAACAATCCATTTGATGTCCGTTATCGTAGAAAATGACGAAAGCATTTTACACGTATCAGCGTCATGCTGCAGCTATATTATGGTTGTAGCTCGAATGGGTCAGCTTGACCGGAGTGGGATATCGCGTTCTTACAGAATACCAGCGTAAAACGGCAGCTTACTCCTGTGTCTTGTGTAGTGAGTGTAGACAACCGGAGACCCTTTTTACTGGAAACGCATAGGCATTTTAGTCTACAGGGATGATAACACATCAGCATTTTGATTTCTAATGGAGTATATACGTAGATGTCTAAGAGCAGAATGTCTAAGAGAATAATACAGAATTCACTTACCATCAGGTGGACGGGGTCTATACTTATTTAATAAAAAAGTTCAGTAGTGAAAATATTTAAGTATTTTACTAACCTAAATTATTTTAGACCGAAAGAAAGAAAGAAGAAGTAGGGATCCGCAAAAAGTACCGATACTTGAGTAGTATCGATACTTTTATAAGTACTCGATACTTTTAACGAAATTTGAGTCACATCATTAGATTTGGGTCGCAGGAGTAGTGGATTACCCTTCTATAGACATATTTAGAGCAATGTGTTGCCAGTTTCTTGTGATTGGTACCTAATTAGTAAATTTATTTTTATCAATTAAGTAAACAACAATTTAATACAGTTTAATCCTGATTTACATCTTTACTGTTGCTCTTATTTATTTTTGTACCGACAATTTAATACGTCGAATTTCAATTTAATTAGTTTGATACCATTATTAAGTGTCTCATCTCTTCATCGTCATTGGTGATAAGTTCCGAACTCCAAGTTCCGAAATTTCTCGGATCATATTTGATATTACGGATCTCCTCAATTTCAATGCACTCCCCTTGTTGCCTCAGGTCGACATATCGAGTGACGTGCAGTTTCGTGGTCACTTGGAAGAGAAGGACAAATTGGCCTCTAAAATGCTTGACGTGCTCAGCAGAGTGGGACAGTATTTCATGCCGGCACACCGCCTGCAGCTTTACAAGGTGCAGGTTCGGCCGCACATGGAATACTGTTCCCACTTCGCAGAGCGGCTCGAATCATCGACGACCGAGTGCTTTCCGATCGGCTCGATTCACTGGTACTGCGAAGAGATGTTGCATCTCTTTGCATTTTCTTTCGCATATACCATGGAGAGTGCTCTGAGGAATTGTTCGGATTAATCCCACCAAATTTCGTGAACGCACTACGTGGCAAGGGTCCCGATACCATCCACACTATGCGGATGCTTGGCGGTCCACCACTGTACGTTTCAAAAGGAGTTTTCTTCGCGTACAACCTCTCTGTGGAATAGTTTACCACCGGTGATTTTTCCGGACCGATACGACCTGGGGACCTTCAAGAAAAGAGCTTACTCCTTTCTAAAGGGCCGGCAACGCACCTGCAATTCCCCTGGTGTTGCGGTTGATCATGGGCGGCGGTAGTCACTTAACATCAGGTGAGCCGCATGCTCGTTTGCCCCCTCTTCTATAAAAAATATATCATACATAAGCAAAAGACTGTAATATTTTTCCATTGCTTATCAAGAAGACTCCTAGTAAAAATGTTCTGCCCTGGAGACAAATTTTTGTCATAAGTCAGAATAATGTAGCGGTTAATAAGTGATACAGAATTAAAATGTTTTATCTTTTTATGTGAAATATATGCTAAGTCTACAAGTTGGGTCTATTCTTAAATTTATCTGTTTTATAAAGTAAATTTAAGTACGTAAAAAATACGTAACATCGTACACACGTTGCTATAAATAAATAGTAAAATAGTTTTAGTGCCGATTTTACAATCTCTGATTAGCCTATTCGTCAGTAAAATTTTCAGTTTTTTGACGGTTGTTGTATGAGTTTGACAGTTCTTATTTGACAAATAGGCTATTCGGGACTTTAGTAATAGGTGGTGAAACCTGCCCTTAATTTAATATTGACCGTAAGGTATGTTCATCGTGTGAATTGATGCTCCTTTGGCTTCTTAATTCTCATCTGTACTGTGCACTAGCAGTTACCCGCGACTTCTTTAACGCGCCCACCATAATTATCAATCTCCTGGGAATGAGTAACTTTACTGAGGTAGCCTATGTCAATGTCCTTATCCAAACTTCAATTTATATCTACGTACCAAAATTTATTCAAATTGATTCATTGGTTTAATGAAAAAAACTTAACAGTCAGAGAAACAGAATAATTTTCGAATTTTCAACATTAGCAATGTTATTACATCTATTTAAATTTATTTCATATTTTTATATTTTACCGTACAGAATGGCTAACGGTAGATCACGCTTGTTGGGACACCAATATAAAAAACGAAGACTTGAAAAAGATGCAGAGCGACAAAAGCAAGCAGGGGCATTAGAGTCCTTTTTGAAAATAGATGAGCTAAACAAACTGTTTCGGCCCTCAGTTGCCCCGACAGAAGTCGACTGGGCTAGGGCCCATCAGTAACCCAACTCGACGGGCAACCGTGGGTTTGGGCCCAAATGGCCTATGGATAATTATTATGTAATGGTTTAATAAGCAAACACAAACTTACCGAGTTCCGGAGGTATGTTCGACCTGGTAGGTAATGTAACCTGACGTCACCGATGTAATCGGCCAGCAGACACACATGCGTTGCCCTGCTCCACAAGGTGCAATTACTACTGTGGGCGTTCACTATTATCTGAACTCAAGTCCAACGTCACTTATCACAAACTATAATCGAAGAGAATCGCGATATCCTCCCGGGTCACAAAGTTAAGCGTTCCACCCGACAAAACAAAAATTTCTTCGTACGATATTAAAATACCACACAAGCAACTCTTCGACGCAAATTAATGGCAATCGAAGTTACATTAATCGCTCAAACTCAAGGAAAGCCTCGTTGTCACGTATACGAACGAAATAATACAACGCAAAGGAGGAAGTCTCAACGCGACCTGACGATTCCAACGTCCTACTTCTATTTCTATTCCGACATCTAACCGATACGGCCGTTGCGGACAAATGATTGTTCCAGACTAATCGGCACCGCTGCAGTCCGCAAAACGAATAACAAACCGGTTTATCGCCCGAGACGAGCGTTATCGCAAGTTTTAAGTGGTTACGATTTGGCTTAAACACAAACTATCGTCAGCCATACCAGAAACCGATGCTATAGCTGAGATTCCACTTAAACCTCGGGAATAACATACGTCCGATTCCAATATAATCTTTGAACCTGTTGCTTCTACTTCTGGGTCAATCGCTATTACATGTGAAGGTGCTATTATAGGTGAAGCTGCTATTGCAGTTGAAGGTGCTATTGTGGGGGGAGGTGTTATTGCAACTCCAAGTGTTTCTACAGAATTAACACCTATGTTAGATATCGATCCAGCCACGTGGTCCAATAGAATAAAATATGCAGAAAGAATATATTTCGTAAATAGAGGTTCTGACCCATTGTATGAATTTGAATTTCCACAAGATATCAATGGTTGGAGGTTTACTTCGAGATACTATAAGAGAAAGCTTAATAACGGTGAAGAAATTTTGATAGGCTTGTATATTCTGTGGCAAAGAATTCGTTATATTGCTTTTGTTGTAAAATATTCAACACAACTACAACTTCTGGTCTATCTGAATATGGCTACAAAAGTTGAAAGCATGTAGGTGATATGCTTAAATCTCATGAAACATCACGAAATTATGTAGAAGATGTAAAATCTTGGGTAGAACTTTCAAATCGAGTCGTACGATAGATGCCGAGTCACAGAAAATATTTAAATCAGAAATAGTACACTGGAATAGAGTATTGTAACGAATTGCCACAATCATCAAAATGTTGGCTAAATATGGCTAGGCTTTTCAAGGTACTTCTGATAATCTGTATCAACATAACAATGGTAATTTTTTAAAACTAGTAGAATTGTTAGCCGAATTCGATCCCGTTATGCAGGAACATCTATGCAAAGTTTTGAAAAAAGAGGAGAAACAAGCACCCTACTTAAGTAAAACAATTCAAAATGAGTTCATATATACAATTTCAGACGGCATAAAAAAACATATTATGGAAGCTATCATTACACCGAAATATTATTTTATTATTTAAGATTGTACTCCAGACACTAGCAAAACCGAGCAGATGACCATGATAATTAGGTATATTTCTATTATTCAATCCCAAGACCATTCAAGAACGTCAGAGATTGTAATAAATGAAAGTTTTTAGGATCTATACCAATCGAGAAATCTACAGGTCTGGCACTAACAGAAGTTATCGTGGAACAATCGGCAAGGTACGATGTTCGATGGATCTAATATAAAAGGTATTCAGAGTGGCGTCCAAGCCAGGATTAAAAACATCAATCCACGGACATTTTACGTTCCTTGTAGTAGTCATTCTTTAAACTTAGTGGTAAACGACATGGCAAAGTCTTCACTGGAAGCTACAATTTTTTTAATACTGTGCAGAACATATATGTTTTTTTCACTTCAACATTAAAGGGGTCAATTCTTTTGAAGAATTTAAAAGGTATTACTCTAAAACCACTTAGTGGCAGGAGATCGAAAGTCGAATCGAAGCAATAAAACCACTAAGTCATCAAATAGGACAAGTTTACGATGCATTGTTCAGTGTTTACCAAAACACAGATATGGATACCTAAACATCTTTTACAAAATTTAAACTGTTTAATTTTTATGTTCTATTAACATTTGGTACGAAATTTTGAATCGCATAAAAGCTGTTAGTAAATTAATGCAAAGTAAAGATTTTGACTGAGTTCCCGTCATTAAATCACTTAGAAATACAAAATATTTCTTTGAAAACTCACGTTCAGATGAGTATTTTATTCAAGTTCTTGAAGACGCCAAAGCCTTAGCATCTGAAATTGACTTCCAGGTGTGAGATTTTGAAAATGTTGCTAGACGTCGTGCACGATCCAAGAAAAAACAATTTGCTTATGAGTGTGTTGACGAACCAATTATTGAGCTTCGTCATAAATATAAAATTGAAATATTTTTTGACAATATGGATACAGTAATAAACTTCTTAAAATTAAGATTTTCCCAGATTTGAGAGCACAGTAAACATTTTGCTTTTTTGTGTTACATATATGCCTTAAGAAAACTCCCAAAAGATGAATTAATAATAATAATGAATAAATAACGTTTATTTCTTACCACAAACAAAGTTACATTTAGAGTTATAAGTAGCATATAAATAGTACAAAACAACTAACAACCTATGGTGGGTAAGATACCCGTATTACAGGTCACCGGGTCTCCACCTCTACGAGGAATGCATTTTATATCTAAAACATAAACACGTAAAGATTAACTCTATTTCCTTATTTGTCATACCTAATTGAAATAATTGTTTATGATTAAGAAAACTTAAAAAAGTGTGTGCGTGTGTGTGTGTGTGTGTGTGTGTGTGTGTGTGTGTGTGTGTGTGTGTGTGTGTTTTTGTGTGTGTGTGTGTGTGTGTGTGTGTGTGTGTGTGTGTGTGTGTGTGTATGGATATATGGATACAGGTAACCTACCTATTTGAACGAACTTGTAAATTCTACCACAAAAACCATGGGGGCGAGAATCAATAAACTCTTTGAAGGCGGTTTGGAGCGGTTTGTAAGAAGTAGTCCAAATTCCGGACAAAATGGTGGTGGCAAGGTCCGGGGAGTACGATGGACGCCGCAGACATTTCAATTGTTGCTCATCTAATTTAGTTGTTTATTGTGCAGTGTGTGGTCTTGCGTTGTCATGAAGCAGCAGTGGCCTAGAGCGATTGACCAATCACGATTGTTCAGCAGCCAGTTTTTCCTTCATGGTTTGCATTTGCTGATAAAAGATATCTGCCGTAATCGTTTGGCCAGACTTTAGAAAGCTGTAGTGAACGACACCGCTGCTAGTCTACCAAACACTCACAAGTAAATTTTTCTAAGTCAATTTTCGTTTAGGGCATGATTTGGCTGGGTCTCCAGGGTTCAGCCATTGTGACTAGTGCTTCCGATTATCGTACAGTGTCCACTTTTCATCACAAGTAACGATTTAAAATCCCTTCATTTTTGTGTCCGTTGAGCAAAGTAACATAGCAGTCGACGCGTGTTTGCAAGTTCGATTTACTCAATTCATGAGGTACCCACCGTTCATTTTTTTTTACTTTCCCGATTTGCTTCAAGTGGATTAATACAATTTCATCACTTACCCCGAAGTCTGTAGCTATCTCTGAAGTGCTTTGTGATGGATCCGCTTCCACAATAGCCTTTACGGGATTGGTTTTGAAGGCCGAAATTTCTAGAACGAAAACGTTGAAATCAAAAACGTACCGTGCTTTCTTTTTCCACACCAGCACCGTACACATCATTAATCCTTCGAGCTGTTTCTGCAGCACTGGTGTCACGGTAGAACTCGTACTCGTAAATATACCGATATTTCATGTTTTCCATTGTGCGGTAATAAGCGACGCGAAAGAAAAAAAATAATGAGAAAAAAACAAATGAATGACTGTTTTCAAAACGCAAATTTACCAGCTAAATGAATTTATAAATTCGAATTTGGAATTCTTAACCAAAGAGGAGATATTTCAGATCAAAGTGGTCAGTACGACAAAACGCTAATTTTTATATGTAAAGACCCAATATGTTTCACCACATATATTATTCATTGCCTTAAATAATTTTGTTCAGGTACTATACAATTATAATAGTAAGGAAAATAAAAGACTTTAAAAAAGAGCCTACTCTTTTCAAAAGTTCAGGAACCTGTCTTCTCATTCTTTCGTTTATTTCTATTTCTCTGTTTTTTTTTTTAATTTGTGCAAGCAGATATGCAGGTCTAGAAAGACTCATATCACTGCGGCTTATAAGATCTATTAATATCTAGCATTCCTCCGGTATTTCAATTGTTAATGGTTAACGGTAGTCACAAATCAGCTGATTTGAGCTCGTTTGCCTTCTTTAAAAAAAGATATGTTTTTCATTTTATATAACTAGCACTTTTACTCGCGGCATTGTTCTCGGCTTCAATTTAAGAACATCTTTAATAATGCTCCTTGCCACAAAATTGAATCACATGTAGAGTCACCTTGGTGTCTGTTCGTACTAATTTTTGTTTAAATTATAAGAGACTATTGGATGTAGATGATTGAAATTCGGCGTAGATAGAATATGCGACTGGAACACATAAGTGTTGTTTTTAGAATTGCATTAATTTATATTATCGGTTTTCATATTACGTACACAATTTTTAAATCGTAAATCATACCCATAATGGCTGCCGATCTGCATATTTTAACTTTGACAAATTGTGATGCTGCAGGAATAATTTTTAAATAGTATTCATTTTATCAGTTATTATTAGTCAATCTAGCAGTGAGTGAGATGTACAAAATTTCATTGATATTTATTTAGTAGTTTTTATATAAATCGTAAATAATTGTAATCGTAATCGTTTTGTAAATACATCGTAATACACTATCGTCATCGTAAAATCGTAATACACTATCGTATCGTAAAATACACTAAATACACTAGTGTATTTTACGTAAATACACTACACTATCGCAAATACACTAACACATAGACAGACGGACGGACAAAAATTTTAAAAAGCCTCTAATTGTGCCATTAATTCAGTACCCTTTATTTATGCCCCTGGACTTGTTTTTTTTTTCTTCAGATATATTAGATATTTTATTGTTACTTATTAAACTTTTAACTTTTCTAAATTTAAACTAATTTTGTAAATATTTTATTTACGCGTTATTTGTCTATTTTTCAGTTTTATCGTCGGGCGATAACGAGGCCGCAGTAACTGCGTTAAACGAGACTCTGATTCCGAAGTTTTGTGGCGCTAACTTTTTACCTAGCGCTGATGCTGGCGAAGCTTTGCAAACTCAACCGCCTGAGAGGATTCAAATGATAGCTGGTAAGTTTCTGTCTACTATACTGTGTCGGGTATACTATCCGGGTGTCGTAAAATGTGACAGAGGGAAACTAACATGGTGATTTGCAGTAACGTCTTCTTAATAAAAACAAGAAAATAAAAAACTTCGGTTGCAAACCCGAGGCAAAAGTGGCTACTATTACAAGGGGGAGGAAAAATGAAACAAACTATGAGGTAGCCCATATTCAGCAGTGACAAACACAGTAGCATGAAGCTCCTATTTCTTTCTGATATTCTGTGAGAGCTTACTCGGTGAGCCGACGCATACGTACTACAACCATACTATAGTTGCATTGATTTATTTTGCCCGCGTCCCTTCCTTATTAAGGCAAATTAAGTTTACCGTTGAAGATAAGACTATAAATTTATTGTATTTAATAAATTTTCCACAACTGGTCGTCGCTGCTGGTGATAAGAGGGCTGGTTCTTTCCTCGCTCAAAGGCTAAGTATAGCTATTCAGCGAGAAAACGCAGCCAGCGTTCTTGGCACTATACCACGGGGAGCAGGTCTTTTGACGATTTAAATTTTTAGTGTTAGATTTTCTATATTATAGTTTCTTCTTTTATATTGTATATAATTAGTTTCAATCGTAAATATTATAATTTTAATTATTATTTTAGTTAAGTTCTTTATTTAATTTCAATTTCAGGTTTATATTTAGTGTGCATAGCTGGTGCTGCACTCATTAGCGCAGTTGGAGTTGATTCTATGAAAAGGTGTTTTTTTTTTGTTGCTTATTCTTTAAACCACGGCTATAATTTCATAAATTAATTAAATTTCCGATGTTAAGTTTGTCGCTGTGGTCACAATTAATCTGCAGGACTTTGAGCAACTAAGTTAATTTCTGTTTATCTAAAACAGGTACGACAATGGCCGTTCGAGGTCCCACTCAGGTCAATCTAGCTTGGCGCTTCTTGTTGCCACGATGAAGCTGTTGGTAGAGCCCAATCAATTGATGCTTATCATTATAAACGTGTTCATCGGCCTACAGCAGGCATTCTTTGGCGCAGATTTTTCAGCTGTAAGTTATCCAATCGAAGAAAAAAAATAGAATAAAATATTAGTTTATAGATGGGTGACAAACGAGCTCGCATTTCACATGATGAAGTGGATAGTATGGTCTAAAGGTCTACATCTATCCTTGATTAATAATTAAAAATACAGATGAGAGTTCACGACTAAGATGGATTGCTTTCTTATCAGATAAAAGGGTATCATGTTTTCATCACTCTTTTAGTAATATGCTGCTATTTTACGCTGACACTGTTAGAGTATGGTCCTTGCCCGGTTGAGCCTACTCATTCGTATTGCAATCATAACTACAATATAATGTCTTTTAGACAGAAATTCACTCACGGCGGTCATCCTGAACGGAGACAAGCTATCTGCACAGGACAAGGTTATTGTGCTAGGGTGCATCTTGCATGCGCCAGTCCAGGTGCACTCTCTCTTATTTCACTTTCATAATAAGAAGGGACGACTTCACGTAGTTTTCAGGGCATCAAGGTGAAAACCACAAATTTCCTGACTCTGGGTTGCGAGAAAGACCCATGACTCTAAAATGCGTTGAATACATTAAATTTGCTAGTAACCGCTATTATTAGTAACCACTGAAAGACATTCACAGTTTAGTGGCGGCGTAAGACAATTAATTATCTCATATTATATACTCGTGGGTGTCGAAGGCAATTGAAGGAAATAATAAAAAGCTGCGACTAGCCAACCCGCTTGCTAAGCGTAGTAACTAGGCCATCTCATGAACCAATATTGTGAATGTCTTTGTTCAGTATTGGACTTCTTGTATATTTTTATATATCAAATTTATAGAATCTGGAAACGTGGCTTCGGGGCCGCGTTTATTCGGGTGACACTAACGGGCCTAGTAAAGCAGGAGAGAGACCCAGGTTACGTTCGCGGCCCTCAAATCTAAACGGTTATCACAGAACTCTCGTTTGCGCTGTTAGTGATCGCTGGTCATCGTAAGCATCTTCAACGAGTGAGATCCAGAGTATTTTACAACAAAGATACAATATAATATTAATTAAAGGAAAACCTTCTTTATAAAATCTATTTTACACCGCTTCTCTAATTTTTATAAATTTGACTAAAATATCTTGTTTCCCAGGCGTTCGTTTCTTGCGCCATCGGCACTGGTACAGTTGGCTTTGTGATGATGACGTACGGTGCTGCAGACGCAATTGGATGCGTAGTTTCAGGATACTTAGCGAAGGTTTTTGAAATGTAATTTATAATATAATATTATAATACCACACATCCTCCCAGAGTTATAACCATAGAATACTATATATAATACACAATAGAATGGCTGTTAACCTTATTTTGTACGAAGATAGGTGTTGCCGGGAGCACACATACAAGCAATTACGTCTTATTATCACTACCACAAACCCGATTCGTGTGTTGGCAGACTGTGCGAATGTACACATTTTAAATTTTTGATTAATGTTTTTGACACATCAATATTTCTTTGTGTTTCTTTCTAATATTCACAAAATATAAATAGTTTCGACTTAATGGTTGGTGGATATGTCTCCTTTATTTAAATTCCATTCCCTCTGTTCTTTCGACACGTATTTACTGCACAATTTGCCATTTTTTAAATAATTTGTATGCAGCGACTCTTGACACAAAAATTGGAAACAATTGATTGTGTTGACATTTATGCGTGTGAATTTACATGTTAGTGGCTACACGGGCTCCGCCCACTCCCCCGTTCCATTAGGTATGTATTAAAGTATTCTATGGTTATAAAACAGAGGCGACAGAGAGGAAAAACTAGGTATGAGCAGCAGCATCTTTTCGATAACAACTCAAAATTATAAACACTGAGGTAGCCCACCCGCCTGCCAAGTGTAGAAACTACGGCCGAAGCCTTTGTGAAGTAATCTACAGGGTAGGCCTATGTTCAGATTTGGACTTTAATAAGCTTTAAGGGAAGACTCCTTTGCTGCCACAAAGTCCGTCAGGTTACGTCTTACTTCTAAGTAAGTCTTCAGTACTGAAGGATATAGAAAGTCTGCATATTTATATATTTATTTACAGCATAATTACAGACTTTGAGGTATTCTGACTTAGTCCTCAGAGGTGACAACTGTATTTGTAGCCTTTTTTGTTTGAAGGAGGCTCCAAGTATCTATGGACGGGCAGCCACTTACTGTCAGATGGGCTGTTATTACGTTTGCCATTTCAATTTTTTTAGATAAAATTAGGGATTGTTATTTCTTACATTATTTGATACTGAGCTGATTACTACCGAGTTAATTATGTGGATCTCATAAGAGTCAACTTTGGCTGTCACCTTCCTCATCAGCCTGAAAAAGGTCCATTACTGGACATTGAACAATTCTTTAATGGAAGGATTGACCTTAATCGCCACGCTTGCCAGTTGAATGGCTGCTCTTGCCAAGTTTATGAGTTTTAACCATTTTATTAAAACAAATATTAATTTAATAAGACAAATATATAAAGAATGTCACTTGTTTCCTATAAACTAAAACTATATGCATCTTTCTTCTTTCTATCGTTATCAGCCCTATAAAGTTCACCACTGGACACACACATATGCAACTTAATCCATGTTGTTGGTTGTAAATAATTTGAGACATGCATTTTATGTAGATTTTAGATGAGCGTATGTGTGTTTGAGTACGTGAGTTTACAATAAGTTGAGCGCGGTTTCTAATTGTACTTAATGATTCTATAAACTTTCACCGTTTTCACCTGTGAATTTTACCCAGATCATGATAATTGTGGCATGTTATATATATATATATATATATATATATATATATATATATATATATATATATATATATATATATATATATATATATATATATATATATATATATATATTATTTAAAATAATCCGATTATGCAGGTTACCGGCCGTTTACCCCTGTTGTGTACAGCTGCCTTAATCCAGACTGGACTCTTCGTGGCTATCCTAATATGGAGACCGCATCACAACGAAGCGTACGCGTTGTACTCGTTAGCCGTACTGTGGGGTCTGTGTGACGCTTTGTGGGTAGTCCAAATTAAATGTGAGTAATTTCACTGTATGTTCATTTGTTAATAACTCAATTGGAATTAATTTAATGGATTTAACCACGAACAAAACCCCCAGAAAATTTGGATCTTTTTACCCTCTTCTATTACCAAACTAGATGTATGTTGAATCTGTTCATTTTGTGATGGTTAAATCACAGTACTTTATATTACTTATATTACTTACTATTACTCATATTATTTAATTCTTGCAAAATTGGATTAAGATGACTTCAAAGTAAATTTATAGGTGTGTACCTATGACTACGATTTATGTATGTGTGACATGAATGGGTTGTCTCGACTGGGGAAACACTACGCTCTCAAATAATTTCAATGTAAAACTAAAGCTTAGTGCTGCTGTGTTTCGTATGGTTGTGTAGTGTAGATAAGAGGAGATCCGTTTTTAGATATAATATATTATCAAATTTTATAAATGAAGAAAAAGGTTTTTTTATTTTATTTTATGTTATTTTTGGGATGAAGCTGCTGTGTTCGTAGGAATCACTTGAATCCTGACCGCCTAAACGTATCCCCTAGGTAGCGCTAAACAAGCAGAATCACATACTGGTGGTAGTTTGGTCCTCTACTAATAAGAGGCCCGGCCAAGGCTTAGTTACTACCTACCTGGAAAAGACATCCGCAATATAACGCAAGTCGTGATCCGGTATGATGTTAGGTGAGACCCATTTCTTTGGGAGAAAGGGTCTGGAGAGTATCGGCGCGCATAAAATCCGGTTGCTGCGCGGCCGTTTTTTGTCATCAGGGCTACCCATACTAGACGACCGACGATGCTGGAAGTGAGGGCGTGAAATTTTGCCTTGTCACTGGGACTCTCCCAGCTGGAACAACAAGTGACTAGGGTATCCGATGTGGATGGGCGTACAGCCATTTGCCTCAACCCTCTGCTGACGAACGATTTGGACAAGCACGATGTTCAGGCTATACCCTTCACCCTCAGGTTCACCCTTGGGAACTCCTGACCACAGTCTGGGGAAATCTGTTTCAGTATATTTCCCGCTTAACTACGATTCCCAAGGTGTGCAGCGTATGGGGAGATACAAGGATTGGGATAGGATGGGGCATTTCTTTGTTCCTTAGCTTTAGTGGCAGGTCTGCTTCTCGTCTGAAGATCCGTCGAGGTGCGCGGATGCCATTACTGATGTGATACGTCAAGCGATGGAGTATTTCATCCCTTTTACTGATGTGCCCATTGGTGTTGAAGCGCGCCCATGGTTCAACGTTGAGTGTGCTCGTGCTGAAAAGCTAAAGCATATGGCATTCTTATCTTAGATCAATGCTAGAGACCGCCAAGCTCCGGTTGTTAGCCATAAGAAGAAAGCCTGTTACTGCCCCCATGCTATCCTGACAAAATCGAGACTGCCGATCGAGACTAGGGCTCATTAGTAGTCCAATTCGACGAGTAACAAAAGGGAGGGTCCAAGACCTATGAATAATTAAACTATAACGGCTGACAAAGAAGCAACCAATATTTTCCGATTACCGGAGGTAGGGTTAACCAGAGGGCATAGTCAGGTGAAAGGTGATGTGCATGTAAGTGGTGTGCAGTATTGTGTTTAATGTGTAACCTGACATCTCCGCTGATCCTGGACAGCAGATCCCAAGGCCTCTCTCCAAATGTGGGATCCATCCAAGGGCGTACACCAATGGAAAACTTCCGCTTCTATTTTCACTATATTAGTTTATCACTTTATTGTACATTTAATTAACTTAAAGTTCAACCAAATCAACGTTAATCGACGTTAAACAAGTAACACGCGGTACAACTTAGGGACGGTTGGTCAAAGTTCAATGTCCCAGGTTCCCGTAATACAAAACTACTAACTCGTCGATGCAATTAACGGCATAAAGGTTCCTTAAATCACTACAAATTCCAAGTAGGCCGTCTGTCATGTAACACGTACAAAACAGACAAATTAGAGGCGGTCGAGTCTTGACCCACATATTCAATAGTAAATTCAAAATGGCGCGCACAAATAACATAAGCCTTAGGCACTCAAGTCAACACCTGCCACGCGTAACCGAATGACAGTCACAACAATACTTAACACGGTTACAAAATAATTATATTATTTCGGCATCGCTATCACAGAAACTTACAAATATAAGAGAACACAAAGAGGCTCTCAACGTATAATCGACCCGGGCTTCGCGCAAACAAACTAAAGAAATAAGCCACGTTATCACGGATATGTACAATATAAGATGACACCAGGCGGCCGTCCTTTCGACGCAAAAGTGTATCAACTCGCGACCCATAACTTGACCCGGGAGATTATGTAACGCTCGACCTTTTACTGGCGCGGGCGCAGCGCCCGGAGGCTCGCTGCCGGCCGCCTTCCGGCCTCGCGGCGGATTGACTGGCATGCCCTCAGGCTCCCGCGACACGCTACCCGTTTCCTCACCCCGCTCGAGACCCGCGTCCCGCAAGCCCCAAATGACACAACAATCGGGCGTGAACAAAGCCTTTAACCAAACCGCCAAGTCCTGCAAAAAGGCACTACGGCAAGTCTGATTCACTACGGCACCACGGCAGTCACTATGGCACGGTTTCAATCATATTAAATGCATCGGTGCAAAGCTCTCTGTCAAACAATCTGGCAGTAGAGCTTTTTGGTCTCTCGTCAAAGCTGTCGTGACATATTTCTGCTGATCACACTGCCTCTGCTAGTAAAACCAGATGGCTCACTGACGCATGCGGCTAAGGAGAAAGCGGATTTTCGTGCTTTTTTTGCGTTTGGATAGTAGCAATAGCGTAGCACTTCAATTCGCTCACTGCACTCAGTGAAGTGACGAGCTAAGAAGCTCATTGGCAACCTTTATTTGGTTGACACTAATCTTGAGAGCCTCGAGCAAAGGCGCATTTGGGTGAGTGTGTGCAGAAAGAACGTGCTTTAATTCCTCCCTTTTCAAACGATTGGACAACCAGGCAGTCGGTGGGTTTTTTGTCTTTTCTTGTCTATATTCCACGCACCAGAACCAAACAGTTTGCTTCATCTTTTGTATTGCGTACAGCAAAGGAGTAGAATAATTTGCTAGCATCCATGTTAAGTGAAAAGTGTGAAAAGGCTTTTATTCGCTGCGATAGTACGATTTACTATGTAGGGCTACATCACTGCTTACCACCAGGTGGAATTGTGGTTAAGCACTGTCTTATGATAAATGTAAAAAATTGCCAATATTTAAAAGTTAGGTTTGGTAGGTTTGATGATTTTACTGGCACATTTTTAAAATGTATGGCGAAAAGCTGACTTTTCTTTTCAAAATATAGGCCCAATAAAATCTGTCGCCTAAGGCCACGTCCTCTTGCCCGGCATACTACGCCAGTGACCTAGGTTCAAATTAAAGCTGGAACCATTATTCACAAATATATATATATATATATATATATATATATATATATATATATATATATATATATATATATATATATATATATATATATATATATATATATTGCTTCAGGGATCGTGTAGTGATTTACTCCGTGCTCCTGACACTACGTCTCAATCTACCTCTGACCTATTCGCAATAATTTTTGGAATTATTTCAATTAAAAAAGAAAAGCGTGCTTAAGAAATGAAATAAAACGTGAATAATATAGATTTTTAAATTATATATCCATTAGTGTAATCATCAAATAATTAGAGCATTGCCTTTAGCAACAGATGCATTTAATCAGTAATTTTAGTCGTTTTTTAAAAGTTGATTTTAAATGTATTTATAACACATAAAAACAAATTAGAACGTGGAGTGTGATGATAGGATATCGAACATTAATAATGTGCTTTTAGATCTAGCTTATTTCTCATAACTAATGAGATAATAGCCTCTGAAAAATGCACTTTTGCAAGGTTTTGGTCAGGGTACCACCTTAAGCGGTTTTGGTTATAAAATCCAATAAACGAACTTACATTTAATCTGATTATATGTGGCTACTGGTGCCTATGGACACCTGTAACTAAACTTGAAGGATATTGATGGAATGCCTCACTGCTTATAATTATACTGACTCTGGATGCATGCACTCCTTCTTGGCGACAGAAAGAGGCAAGGGTATGGTCTCTACCCAGATGAAGAGAGGCCTGCCCTCCCTAAGCAGAAAAACAATCACTTAGTATATCATGCAGTTAATTTAGTAGGAGTGAGTGCTTATGGTCGGGCGTACACTAGAAGCACTACTATATCTGCATATTTGACAGCTTTAGATTTTTTGGAAGTTAGTGCCGTGTTCGAAAATTGCCAGGACGAACAGTAGATACTTCATCACATTGTTTTAAACCAGGAATGTATTTTATGCTCACGTTCTTAGATTTTTTTCTTTTTTGCAGCATTCTACGGAGTGTTGTTCCTGGGTAGAGAAGAGGCAGCGTTTTCTAACTTTGTACTATGGGAATCTGTGGGATATATTGTTGCATACATCATATCTCCACATTTGAGAGCCAGCACTAAGACTTACTTACTTATCGCGTTGTTGATAATAGGAGTCTCTCTCTACTTCGTTGTGGAATACAGAAATAGAAAGGCGAGGAAGAAGTTAGAAGAGAAGAAAAAAGAATTGCATACGATTGGTTGTAATAATATCGCGTTTCAAAACTTAGATTGATATATGATAAATCGAGTGTTATGAATTTGAGAATGTGTAATACATTTGTAAATAATATAATATAGAAGTTTATTATTTGTCACATTTATTTTGAATTATTATAAGTTTGTTAGTATATAACGACGCTTATCTCGTAGCAACGTGTCAGGTAATCCCATCATTCCTCACTTCTTTCATAAGCCCTGGGACTTAGTAAGAAATAACTGTGTATTCTAGTAAGAGCCCTGACTGGAGACTGTTGTCTAAAAAAGCACTTGTTCATCCTAGGACTGAGCAACTCAAGGACGTGTCAATTCTGTTCCTTAACGAAAGTAGGTTATCTTAACTGAATGTACATTATACCAGGTCATCACTCCATGTAATTTATTCGGGTATTATTATTAGGACTATAACCATTGCATCCGTTACAGTCTAGAAAAGTTCACTGCTGAACATTGGCTGGCTACATAGATTGCTTTATAGGGGGAATTTTGCTATAGTTGCCAAGTTTGGCAGTAGAGCCACATTTTTTTAATTATCTGGAGTTATCATGAATCTGTCGGTGCTCATCTCTTGTTTCATTTCCTTCTGTCGCCTCTGACGACACGCATTGTTTACTAAAAATAACAAGTTAATTGTAATATCAAATGCGCGAAAAAAAATTGATAGTGCCTGTAAAAATTTAATAGTAAATAAATATAACCTATTTGAAATTTTAAGTTGCCATTAAAAATGACGTAAGCAAAGAGAAATTTCAAATTATCTAAATACTCAGCATACTACTTGAAAGAAATGGAGGAGGCCTTTGCCAAAGTTGGGCAAACAGACCAAGTTGTTGGTGTCATCGACTAACCAGAGTCGTGAATATAGGATTTATGTTAAAAAATGTGTCTGAATAAAGGCTTATATTATTATTATTATGGGGTATCTATATAATTTTCTCACCTGGTTGGGTGCTATAAATATATAATTATAAATTAAAATGATAAGATAAATATACATAAATATACATAAATATCAATAAAATAAAATAAATACAAAAACTACATAAATAAATAAGATCCAACCAGATAGGAGCCCTCGGCAGGGGAGACCAAACGGCCGAGGGTTAGGGGGAAAGGGAAAGAAACCGGCGGACGATGCGGGCGGTATCGAGAAGCACCGCCTTCTGCATTTGAGCCCGGAGCGGTCCGTCACGGAGTCCCAGTCGCCTCAGATGACCCGAGAGGCTGACTGGGATTAGCCCATTCGCAGAGACGACTACAGGAATAATTTCGGTCGGCATACCACCCCACATGTCGGTCACCTCGTGAGCCAAGTCCAGATATTTTGTTCGTTTATCCGTTTCGGCTTTCACGAGGTTCTCGTCATACGGAATGGTAATGTCGATCAAAAATATCCTTGACTGTGCCCGGTCCATCAGCACAATATCAGGCTTATTCGCAGAAATAGTCCTGTCTGTGATGATGGCCCGGTTCCAGTAGAGCCTGGCGCGGTCCTTTTCGAGCACGGCTTCCGGCAAGTACTTGTAATACGGCAATTTTCGGTCCACGAGACCGTATTTCAGAGCGAGCTCCTGGTGTAGAATTCTGGCTACTAGGTTGTGCCTGTGCAAGTACTCAGAGTTAGAAAGCGCCGAACAACCGGAGATGACATGTCTAAGTGACTCCCCGGGATGGCGACAAGCTCGACAGACGTCGACAGTGCCATCCATTAGGATGTATCTCCGATAGTTGTTGGTCTTAATAACCTGATCCTGTATTGCACAGACAAAACCCTCGGTTTCCGCGAAGAGGTCATCGAAACGTAGCCAGTTGAGGGAGGCGGCTTTATCTACGTGAGGCTTATGTAGAGCCCTGTAGTGCCTCCCGTGGAGCTCCTTCTCCTTCCATACGGTCTCCCGGTCGGAAATGCTCTGTACTGCCGGGTCTTGCCATTGCTCGTTGGCTAAGGATAGAGGGTAAGTCCTTTATCACTAGAAATGACGTCATTATAGAATGGATCATCCGATCTCGCCAGGAAGTAATGACGGAGGCTGCACACTTCGCGATTATGCATGGTGAGCGCGCTCAGGAAGCCACGCCCACCATGCTTTCGCGGCAAGTACAGCCTCATTACCGACGATCTCGGATGATGCATCCTATGGGACGTCATTGTAGTGCGGACTTTTCGATCCAGGGCGTTAAGTTCAGTCTGAGTCCACCTGATATGCCGAAGGTATACATGAGGACAGGCATGACCCAGCCGTTATATGCATGTGTCTTATTCACACCGGACAAAAGGCTGTTAAGCACTTTGGTCAAGCGTGCATAAAACACGTCGCAAACTGACTGTTTCATACCAGCCTCATCGATACCGATGTTCTGTGACATACCCAGGTATCGGTATGTTTCAGCCTCGGAAAGGGTTCTTAAGTTGACGGGCATAGATAAGTCTATGCCCTCAGAGTTAGCAACCCTTCCCCTTTCAACATGGAGGACCGCACACTTATCCGTCCCCAGCTCCATTCTAATAGAATTGCTAAATTCACACGTGATGTTTAGCAATTCCATAAGATGGGAGCGACTGGAGGCGAATAATTTGAGGTCATCCATATAAAAAAGGTGGGTCAATTTTGTACCTCCTTTCCGAAGCTGAAATCCCCTCCCGGAGCCCTCCAGTAAAGTACTGAGAGGGTTCAAAGAGAGGCAGAACCAGATTGGACTCAGACAGTCGCCCTGGAATATACCCCTTCTTATCCTTATGCGGCTTTCCGCAGCCGTCATCCGCTCGCCTAGATGACAGATGATCGTACTCCACTGCCCCATACACTGCTTGAGGAAGTCTCGAACTGTAAAGTCAATCTTGTAGAGCTCGAGGACCCTCTTTAGCCATGTATGGGGCACCGAGTCAAATGCCTTTCTGTAATCTATCCAGGCGGCGGAGAGGTTCCGACGGTTGCGTTTCACCACTTTGCCAATGACCGCGTCAACGAGGAGTGGTTCCTTGGTTCCACGACCGCCGCCCCGACATCCATTTTGAGCGCGCGACATCACCTGAATTAAGTCCAGGTGACGAGCAATTCTTGCGCTCAAAATGGATGTTAGTGTCTTGTGTATGTTGGTAGACACGTGATGGGGCGGTATTTGCTCGGGTCTGTGGCACCCTGATCTTTAGGAACCAAATGAGTGATCCCAGTAGTGAAGAGGCTTGGGAGCGACTTCTGGTTGAGAGCCTCTTGAAACTGTCGGGCGAGCACAGCGTGACACACCATGAACCCCTTCAGCCAGTAGTGATGCAGCCCGTCAAGCCCCGGACTTTTCCAGTTCGGGGCCCTACGGACCGCCTCAGCTACGTCATCCGGCGTTATGATGACGGGGTCCATGGGCGTAATACCCGCACATTGACTCGCCACAACTTCCGTCCAAGGGCCCTCGTTGTGGTTTACGGGCTCTGATCACAGGCTGAGCCAGAATGCGACCGTGTCGGCCTGATTTGGTGCAGGGCCCGTTCCACTTACTATTGGTCGCTCCAATGATTTATAGAGCCTCTTCTGATCACTCTGGAAGAGACGATTCTGGTTGAACCGTGTCGACCTCTCGGTATATCGCCGAATCCGCTTTCCCCAAGCAGCTATTCTTTGCTTCAGGTCGTCTATGCGCTCCGTCAGTTTTTGCATTATATCCGGCTGGGACAAACTAACATTTGTCCCAGCAAACGCCATCCTGACGGTGCGCACAATCCTTGGCCTGGTATTGCCTGACCTGAAGCATATCAGTCTGCCGATGAGGGCCCTATCCTTTATTATTATTATTATTATTATTATATATATCACCGAGAGAAGTGACAAGATATGGTCCTGTTAACAAAATTTTTTATGATATAAGATAAAATCAGCGCCATCTCTTAAGTACTCATGAACTACTACGTAACCAGTGTTTCCACTTATGATTTTTGTTTTATCCTAGAACCTGTAGAAATACTCCCATAATTATCGTAAAAATCTAAATAGCCTTATTAACACCTAATTTTAAAGTACAACATCATTGCAAGGTTGGAATATAATTTTACGATTATGTTATAAAAAACTTTAAAACAAAAAAAATATTAAAACTTGAGTTTTGTGTTGAAGAAAACGTTCTCATTTTTAATAATAATACCATAGGAATAATGAATATGTAACTAAGTAAAATATCGTACCATTATTCCGATATACATAATGAAAAAAATGTTCATTCTACACTTTTCTACCTCTTTTGACCCTATACCTTTCGATTAATCTTTTAAAAAAATTACATTCGGTGGGTATAGAAAACAGGGTTACCTGAAGTTCTATTTCATTCCAAACTATCCAAAACCCTGTCAACTTGAAGAATAGCCTAAAGCCATACCTACACTAGTTGATTTACCATAAAATAGTGCAAAATATCTAAAAGTAGAAACACACGGACGCACGGCATGAATATGAGCTCACGTTGGTGCTTCATAAACATTTTAGCACCAATTAGTCAGTGCCATTTTGTTTGTTTAATGACCCAGTCCATATGCAGTAGTTTAATAAATCTATGTTCTATATTCTTATCATATCTACGTCGTCCCTGCTAAATACACATCCCAAATATACGAACTCATCCACTTTCTCAATCAACTCCCCTTCTCTTCCTATTTTACATATTGTTCTACTTTCTTCTCCTTCAAAAACCATCACTTTCAGAAGAAAGTGATGGTTTTTGAAGGAGAATACTTGTAGAAGAAGGAGTAAGAATACTTGCGTTTACTTTCATTCTCCTTTCTTAATGACCGTACATCAACGATCACTGTGCCGCCCAGACGTTACAAAAGGTATTTAACGGTAAACTCGCCATTCTTAACCCACATTCTTCACCTTTCAAAGTTTCTAACAATTGTCCATAAATAGATTGAACAGCCACGGGAAAGCTACAAAGCCCTATCTGACACCTTTTTGGATGCCAAACCAGTCCAAACCGACCCCGATGATCCTGATACAAATGCTAGATGCCCCATAAAGAGACTTTAATGCC